CCCCAAAACCCCAAAACCCCAAAACCCCAAAACCCCAAAACCCCTCTGGAGTGACAGTAAGTTGAACTTTGAAAGCGCCTATTAGGAGGTATTTTTAGGAGAGGAAAGAGGCTTAGAGAGGTAGTCAATAGTTTCCTCGATGATAGCCTCATCGTCGGAGAGTTTGTAGCTTCCGATGAAGAGGTAGCCGGAGTTAGAGATTGTCATCAAGAGGTTTGAGTCGATTTTTCAAGAGATGTATCTGTTGTCAGAGTCTATAGAGGAATCAACAAAGGAAGAGAATTAAGGCTTACCGGAGTCTATCTCTGATTGCTCATTATTTACTCTAAATTTCACTCCGCTAGTAGTAGTAAAAGCAAGTTTAAAGGCTGCAGTTAGCATAGTGCTTCCTTCCTCCTGGTCTTGAATTTCCTTTTCGGTTAATAAACTGAATAAATGGACTGCTCCATCAATCGCGCTTACAATTAATTCTCTATCATATTGCTGAAAAGAGAGAAAATCTATATGTTTTGGGAACCTTCCTCTTGACAAAGAATATAACTTAGCCATGTTCTGTACATCAAAGATATCAATGCTTTTTCCTTCTGTAGTTGCAGCAGCTAATAAACTTCCTTGTGAGTTTAGCTCCAAAGCTGTGACTACATATTTATTGGTTGCATATCCAGGGAAAAATGAGTATCTAGTATCATTTTCTATATCTGTCACAAATACATCAGCATCAGATTCGGTTCCAGGGCATGCTATTAATTGCAAATGTTTTACATCATCTTTATCTGTTTCAAGATATCTATTAATCCCTACTGCCCCATAAGGATTTTCAGCAGTTTCGATAACTTTGGGATTCTTGAAATCACTAAACTTAATAATCTTGACGATATGTTCTTGGACTACAATCAGAGTAACTATAAGATAACTCAACAAGGGGGTTACAGTTAATATACTTGACATCTATCACCTTTTTACTGAATTTCAGCTATATAGCAACATTAAGAAAGCAATTAGTTGGAGAAGAAATCTGATCTTGATCAGTAAATTACATGATATAATTCTTCTCCCTCATTGGAATGGTCGTAAATGACTAGTCTTTCACCTGTTTTCTCTTTTCCCTCTTCAGTTGATTTATCCTGTATTTCATTAGATCAAAAAGCCAATAATTTTAAGTAAAAGAACAAATATTGTCAGATTTACCTCAAGGTAAGTAATTATTCCTTCATTTGGACAAGGGATGGCTAGCTTAACTCCATTAGGAACCTCCTTCTTAAGTATAAGTTTTGTGGGTCTGAGGGTATAAACTCTATATCCCCAGCTAGTTCCAGCAACTAGGTACTTGCTATCCTTACTGAGCCTCAATGAATTAACCTTTTCTACTGCTGCTTCCATCAAAATACTAAAATTTTCAATAATTTTTACAGGAAATGGGGTTTTGGGGTTTTGGGGTTTTGGGGTTTTGGGG